AATTGGATTGTTACAGGGAGGGAGGCTTCTGGGCCATTTGAACACATTTCTTTTAGAAAGCGGAGTCAGTACTCAGTACAGTGTGTTCCTTGGGCACATGTGCACGGCCAGCTGGCCCGATGGCTCTACTCTTCGGGAGTCTGGAGCCCACTGTAACCACACACACACACATGGGCGCATCGTATCTGCGGCCGTAGTTCCTTAGAGAGTGGGGACCCCATCATGTCGGAAACCTCTCGCTCCAACAAGTTGCAAAACAGGTGACACGAGCCACCACTGATCAGCTACTGCCTTCCTGCTACTGCTGCTACTGTTGCTACTGCTACATCCACAGAAGGATCGAAAAAGGCAAAAAACTGGTTCAAGTAAGCGCTTCTTACGTACGTCGCCTGTGAAATTGCTGCGGATGCTCACAACAAGCTGTTGGTATGGTAAACAAAGGAGCATATGGATCAGCTTGTAACGGTAATCCTACCTTTCCTTGGCTCCAGGTGAGGTTTGGATGCAACGGGATGGATAGCACCTTCACCACGGCTCCCATGGCTTAAAGTCACTCCGAGCTCGCTGAATGTGAAATTGTGGAAGGTGTCACTGCTCGCGTCGCCTTGGCTCAAGGAGTGCCTTCAACGGTCACCCGACTATGGTCTACGGAAGCTGCCGAAACATTAAATTTGAGATTCGTGGCATTAAATCGTTCCAAATTATTAGAGCGCGCGAGGTGAATAGCCCGGCCATGTCGTCCCTGCGTTCGTAGTGCCATTGTACTGCCACTAAACTTACTATTGTACCTGCCTTCAACTCGCTCACACATGTCTTGGAGTCATTATTAATGTAAATTTATGTAAAAATGAAATGATTCATGGCATGTTTAAGAACTTCCCCACTTGAGCCGATCGGCATTCTTCACCCTGTGGTGAAGAGGTACGATGGGTAAAGCATTCCGTTTCAAAGGATTTTTACATATTCAAAATATACGCAAGATTTTATAGAAAATTTGAAAATTCGACAGATTCCAGCAAAGGACAGCTTAATAGGATTCGCAGCAATTCGTGGACGGTATGATGAGCCGCTTTCGTACGGTCCAAACGAACCCGAAAAGAGCTCATAAACCGCCTTATTTTTGCAAATATGCAATGTATTAAAAAGGACAAACAACCTGTGATTAAACGAATCGTGCGACAGATTGATAATGTGACATTAGCTAGGACGATGCACGTTCGAATGGCCGGCGAATGGCCGGCGAAGTAGGTGCTAAAAGGCGGAGTAACCTGCCAGATGTAAATAATAGAACAGAAAGCTCCACCGCAAACACAACCGCCGGTAATTTGTGTCGCTTGCGGATTGTGCTCTGGTATAAATAGATAGGGACGGTTCCTATCTAACAGGCGCACAAGGCGCGACCGTAAAAAGTCTACAGACGCTATCTCGTCCTCCTGCATCTAGCTCATCCACTTCCAAGTCTTTTTCTTCATTATTCTTTCGAAATAAGTATACTATAACATAGACTCGACTCGCAAGTAATCCGAGCCAAGCCGGCGTTGCACGATGAAATCTTGCATACTCGCATTAACTGGGTTGCGTTAACAAGTCCAAAGCCGTTGTGGTACGTTATCTTCTACAAAACTTTGGACCTATACCCCACAAGGGTGCTCATGACAGGCATATGGCTGTCCAGACATTCTGTGTGCTGTTGCGGTTTGACGACCTGACCTGCTGCGGCACGTGCTCATGCACACAGATCTGCTTCGTATCTACACTGAGCAGCTTGAGATCTTGATCTTGTTTAGGAGAGCAAAACGAATCCGCACTGCCTGGGCCAGAACGTGTTCATCACCATCACCAGCTGGCGGGATCAGCGGACCACGGATGCAGCACCGTCGACCTACTCGCGCAGCTCTTATGGACCGGTGTTGACCGGGCAGTGTGTCAACGCACGTCATGATACCTTACCTTGGGGGGTCAGAGGTGAAGACAGAGTCGAAACAGAGGGTGTGGGCCAGATCGGCAAACACTTCGGGAGTTTCGGGTCGTCCCGAAGAAACTCCCGAAAACAAAAAGAGTTCCCGAAGCCGGCCGGCTTGCAGACATAGGATTATACGCCGTACACGAAAGGTTTTATGCGGCCCAAAGGGCCGCCCGGGGACCTAACTCCGACAGAAATAGACCCGTTCCCGAAACCAGAAATACCCCAATTACCGATGTCTGGTGTGGGCCCTCTCCTGCGAGCAGTCACAACCGTCAACCGTCACTGCAACTGCAACTACCCGGTGGGGAGGTCACGGCTCCCCTTCCCACAACCATCAACAATGCTATGCCGTACAAGGCTTTCCGTGCTGAACCCCAAAACGCCGCAAGGAGGCCAACATTCAATAGGAGCGCGCTCAGCAGCAGCTCCTCCAGAATTGTGTTGATCTCGGGTGTTATCAGGTGTTGAAGGAGAGCCTCAGCACGAAATAGGGCTGCCGCCCACTTGGCCAACTCTTGAACAACTGGGAGGGAACTTCTGCCATGTACATACAGCTGGCTGCTATACCGCTGTGGGATCATGTGCCGTACGGCTGCGGGACCCATTTTACCGAGTTCGAATCCATTCATTCCAAACGTCCAACGACCAAATGTTTAAAGGAATGTGTGGAACCGATTCTGCCATGTTCTCGATGGCATCGCGACCAACTAAAAAGCTTCCGACCTTGCGACCCACCCGGTGCACACTGTGGGTGATGTGGAATGCTCTGTACGCCCTCTCTCCTCAGCTGTCCCCTTAACTCTCCGACAAACAGCAGAACAGATGAGACGAGCCACCACCGCCGATCAGCTACTGCCTTCGTGCTACTACTGCTACTACTGCTGCTGCTACTGCTGCTACTACTGCTGCTGCTACTGCTGCTCACTGGTACATCCACAGAAAAATTGAAAAGGCGAAAGACGATGGCTCCGGATGACAAAAGCTCACATCACTTACGAGGCGTCGAGCTTGAATCAACAACTGCTGCTGCTGTGCTGTCACGAACCGCGAACACACTTTTTTTAGAGAGCGGCAACTCCCTCTTTACCACCACCACCACAAAACCCTCTCACCTGCCACCACCATCATTTCCCTCACATCATCATCACGATGCATCATCACCATTTTTTTCAATGCACCCTCCTCCGTCAGCACGGACCATCCCGAGGGGCCTCCTTCACGAACTCGCCCCAACGAAGGAACCCATCAATGAGTCAGTCAGTCAGTCAGTCAGTCAGTCAGTCAGTCAGTCAGTCAGCCATCATTTTGCCAAAATTTCGCAAGCCATCCCCGGCCCACACCAGGGCCAAGTCGTTCTCGCCTAATTCGAGGGCACACACACGCACTGCTAAAGCCCTCTACGGAAGACAACACAAGAACCGTCGTCGTCCCTAAGATGGAAAGGAAAGCTCGACGATCCCCCGTCGCCACCGATCCATAAAAGGATCTTGTGCTGCTGCTGGAATCTCCCTAGGAGGAGGCCACAAAGCCCGGCGGCTTCGGGAACAAAACTGATGACGTCATTTCCCCAGCCAGCAAAAGATATTCATTTCGTACATCTTCTTCCGTTTCCTGCGCCTTAATAATTACTTAACACCTGTCAAAGCTTTTTTTTCTCTCTTTCCCTCTCTCCCAAAAAATGTTCACAAAAAAGCGTATAATGTCAAAAAAGATGATCGACAATTTTCTGCAATCAGCAAAACCATATCATTCCGCGGCAAGCAGCAGGTTCGCGACAACGCGCAGCGACTAAAAACGGCTCACATAAGGACGATTTTCATTTCCGACAGCCGAATAATTCGCAAAATACAAAGAGAGGGATCCTCGTCGCCGACAAAAGACTTGAACACCCAGGCGCAATAGCCTAGCCGGTAAAAGAAAGAAACAAAGAAACGCCTATTACTGCCCTGCCTCTTTCGTAATCCTCCAAGATCATATCCGCCATCATATTCAGGTCTGACGGATCACTGCAAACACTTTATAAAAATGACCGCGATCCCCTTATAACTTTCGTTTTGCAAAATTCCTGCTCAACCAGGCGCACCCGAGCTTTTGTCCTGTCTGTGTCGCCAACTACTGGACTGGCCCGTACATCATCATACTTTTACGCGTCAGTCACCACCAACAACAATATAAAGACTTTTTGCGTCACGTTGTAGCTACACCTCCAAAACACAGAACTCCCAGGTAACATCAAAAAAAATCCTTAAAACATCAAGAAATACAACGGATGTGCGGAGTGGCTGCCGAAGCTGCGTTAATACGTAATACTGCTCATCAGCTCACCAGCTTGCGCTCTCCTATCCAGGACTGTTGCGCAATTGCATGATCGTACAATACCCTACCGTACAATGAGGAAGTTTAGACTACCGAACAAAGCTACGATATATGTATGTGTGTATGTATGCGTGCGTGTCTTTGTGTGTGGACATCAGGTGCAGGAAACAGCTCCTTTTCAACTGCTGTCAGGAGCTGCACCAGTTCCGTTCTTTTAAATACCCCCGAGGGAGAATGATGTCTGTCTGACAGCGAACTAAACATTTTGGCGCAGAAAGACAGACAGACCGAGAAGCAGAATGCCTATGTGGAAGAGTGCGCCAACTACCAACTACCAACTACCCACCTAGCTTCCGAAAAGTGCTTCACACACGACAGCCCCAACGACTATCAACTGAATAAAAACATTCCGCATCAACCCATGCATCACAATGCCGACGACCCCGTCCGCCTCCGGAACCACCGAAATCCGGATCCAGATCCAAATCGGATGTGACAGACGGAGGGCCGAGGGAACGACGAGCAAGCAGGCTAGCAGACACACTACACGCCGCCGATCCCCTCACCCCCCCACCCCACCCCACCCCACCCCACCAACCAATAACGGCGATGTGTGTCGTCCGCCCTTAGCGGCGGTCAGCCCAAGGAGTGCCCTGAGGGACCACCACCACACCACTGCCACCCACGTGCTGTCATCCCTTCACCTTCACTCTCACCTTCACCGCTTCCAGCGCTGACCGCCCCGGGAGACCTGAAGCGGGTGGGAGGTGGTGGGGAGGGGCAGGTGGTGGGGTGGTGGGGAGGGGTACAGATGCGAGGAGAGGGGAGGAGAGGCGGGGGCACCTTAAGGAGGGAACATGGCAACGGCAACGGTAACGGTAACGGCAGCTGGCCCACCTCATCCCTCACCGCCAAACTGACTCCCCCGCCCCCCAGCTAGACAGACAGACAGACAGACAGACTCACGGTGGTGGTCATGGCCGCCGCGTCGTCATCGTCCTCGTCGTCTCGGTCACCGGCGGCTCCCGGACGATTCTCAACCCCCTTTCCACCAACCTTCTCCACCCCCATCCCCGCCCCCACCACCGCCTCCTCGACCACCACCTCGGACGTCATAAGCTGCGCCTGGCTCTTGAGCCGCTCCTCCATCTCCCGCAGCCGCTGAGCCATGGCCTCGTACTCGGCCCGAAGTCGGGCCTGAAATAAACCGAGGGGGGAGGGGAGCGGGAAAGACGAAACACAAGCGAGTGAAACTGCTGCCAGGACAAGAGTGTACCAGAAGTAGAACTGACCAAAAGGCGTTCTTGCGGGGGGAGGGGAACAGGGGATTCGGGGAAAGGGGGGAGGACATGGGAGAAACCATCGAGCATGTGTATATTTTGTTAAAGGGGGGTATAGCTTCACCAGCGGCCCTCTTGTGTGTATGTATGTATGTATGTGTATCAGAAATGTAAGGAGTATGTATATAAAAGGGCGACCTGGGGGAAGCTGCGAAACAGCTCCGTCCTCCATCATGCCCACGGCGGGGCAGCGCAAGGAGAAGCGGAAAAGCGAAAAGGGAATCAACGCAAAGGAAGCGGAGCGAGGGAGCAATGCGGGGATTGGGGACACCAGCAGCGGCAAGCGGAGAGGGGCGGACCCAGAACCGCCCAAGAGGACGCGGATGGCGTACAAGACGGAAGGGCGGAATGGCGGACAAGACGCCCGGATGATTTCCCCTCTCCCCCCTATCACCACCCTCCTCCCAGCTAACCAACCCCACCAAAACACACCAATCTTTTTTACCACCCCCTGCCCCTAACGCCAACATAGACACAGGGCCTCCCATCTGCACACACACACACATACATACATACATACATACATACATACATACATCGCACATACACACATACACACATACGTACATTACACACACACACGCATACATACATGCTCCCCCACCTGCTCCCGACGCAGCTCCTCCAGCCGAATGCTCTCCGCAGCCGCCGCCGACGCCGCCGACGCCCCCATTCCCCCCCCGGACATGGACCCAGCCCCCCGCACCGCATGTCCGTTCACAACACGAACGGGACCTCTCCCTCCTCCGGTGCCGGCGGCGGCAGGCACCCCATCCTTGTCGACATTACTACTCGGCGATGATGGCGGTAGCGGACGGACACCCCGGCCGCCGCTACTGCCGCTGCTACTGCTGGTAGTAGCAGTAGTAGTGGTGGTGGTGGTGGCGGTGCCGTCGGTAACGACCGGTAGGGGTTGTTGTTGTAGTGGTGGTGGTGGTGGTGGTGTGGGCGGAAGTGATAGTGGTTGTACGGGTGGGACGGATGACACCGCCTTAATGGCGCTCTCCAACGCGGCCTCCATGCCCGCCAGTACGGCAGCCAGGTCCTCCTCGTCGTCCTCTAGCGGGGTTGGGGACGACGGAGGAGGAGAAGGGGATGCCGCCGCGGGTGCTGCTGCTTCTGATGGTGGGGGTGATGGTACTTGTGACGGTGTTACTGCTGCTGATAGTTGCAATGGTGGTGATGGTGGTGATGGTGCTCCAGCTCCAACAGCCGCTGGGGATGATGATGACGGCGATGGTGGTGATGATGGGACGGGGGCTGATGGGGGTTGTGGCTGTGCTGCTGATGATGATGATGAGGAGGAGGTGAAGGAGCTTGCGGTGGTGGTGGTGGAGGGCGGCGGCAGGGAGGGCGGCGCAACATACCCACTTGAAACAGCTGATGGTGCGCTGGGTGCTACTGCTACTGCTGGCAGGGGCTGGGGTTGTTGCGATGGGGCGGGTGCTACAGCCGCTGCCGCGGCAGTGGCAGCAGCAGCAGTTGCGGCGGGGGGGGAGATGCTTTGCAGTTTCTGTTGTCCGTGTCTGGTTGGCTCCTCCTCCTCCGCCGCCTCCGCCTCCTCCTCCTCCGCCGCCTGAGCGGCTGCCACCGCCAATTCGGACCTGCGCGCCTCCTCCTCGAACAGCCGGGCTGTGAAGGCCTCAAACAACTCCCTGTGTATGTATGTATGTGTATGTATGTGTGTATGTGTGTGTGTATGTGTGTGTATGTGTGTGTGTGTATGTGTGAGGGAGAGAGAGGGGAGGGAAGGGGAATCGTTCCTGTTACGATAACTAAATTCAGATAAATGAGCTGCCTGACTGCCGGAAGGCGTCCAAACCCTCTAAGTCCGAAACTGCCCTCATTCAGGGGGTGAGGGAGTCCTAAGCGCTGTGTGTGAGTGTGATGTCACATCGACATGTGGTTCCGGAGGTTATCCGTAAGTAAGAATGCGGGGGGGAAGGGGAGGGGAGGGGAGGGGAGCGCCACAAAGTGTGTATTTGCCACATCCAGATAACAATGACGCGGACGGAAAGACTTACTCAAGAATCACACCAGAGCAGGAAAGCCCCTCTCCCTTTCCCCTCCCTCCCCCCCTTCCCCACGCACCCCGCGTGACGTACTGAAGACTCATGTGTGGTGTATGTGTGAGTGCGTGCTCGCCCCCTACCCCAACCCCCCTCCCTCTCGCTAAGCACAACACACGCATACACATACACTCGCGCACCTCCTCCTCCTCTCCGGCAGCGCCTGGCACCGAGGGTCATTCGCCACCCCCCGCCTCACAAGCGACCAGGTGGAGGTGGAGGTGACGGGGGTATCGCGGAGATCTGAATACACATACACGTGCATGTACGGCAGGGGCCGGGGGGTCGGAAGGGAAAAAAAGGGCCGGAAAAGGTAAAGCCACAGACGCGGCGGATTATTTGCAATTAGCGAAAGTGGGTAATGGGGGGAATATTGAAGACTATGGCAAGGAGGTGGTGTAAGGGAGAGGGGAAGAAGGGAGTCGGTCGGTCACATAGGCGCGAAGTGGTGTGAGCTGCGAGGTGCGCGGAAATAGTTGCATGTGTGTTTGTGTTTTTGTGTTTGTGGGAGGGGGGGCCCCGGCGGAGAGATCAACATGAGAGCTCTCCGCAATATCAACGTGTTGGGTCTCTCCATGTCTGCTGTGTTGGTGAGTTAAGGAGGATAAGCGGAGAAGGAGGAGAAGAGGCGCCAGGGAATACGAAGGGCAACGCCACCGCCACCGCCACCGCCACCGCCACCCACCCGCCAACATGGTAGTGAACTCCATCTCCGCCTTGAGAGACGCCGCCTGTAGAGCCACTTGCAACTGCAGCTCCGAAACCACCTCCAAAAACAGCTGCTGACGCCGGGCAGGGTCCTAACCGACGGGGGTGGTTGGGGGGATCGGGGCAGGGGGAGGGGTGATCAGACGCACTCATACACACAACAGCCACACGCTCAAAAATACACGACCCGGTAGTTGCCATCCATGCGCAACTTAGCCAACGTAGCTTCATGTACGTCACACCCATACACACACACCTAAACTCGCATGAATACCCCCACCCCACCCCACCCTACACACAAAACACGCACACGCAGACGAACACGTACCTGCACCCCCGCCACGGCCGGGTCTGATTCCTCCAGTCCGTGTTGGAAGAGCTCCCAGCGGGACGTGGCTGTCACCTGGTAGCGACGTAGGGCGGCCTGGGGGGGGAAGAGGGGGAGGGGGAGGGGAGGGTAAGCACTAACGATTGAACCAAACTGACGATTGAAGCAGGATGGGGAATGGAGGGGGGGGAGAGAGGGATGGGGGAAGGGAAGGGAGGACGCGATCGGGGGTGCAAAAGTGTGTGCGCGCGCGTGCGTGTATGGAAAGGGGGGAAAGGGGGAAAAATGAGAAACTCAAAAGCGGGACGTGTATATGTGCGTTTGTATGTTGTTACAGGGTGGTTAACTTCGCCAGCGGCCCCCTTTCCCGGGGCAGTCCCTGCTCTCCCCTGCTAGAGGGGCACCCTAATCCGTCACCCCATCCGACTTCAGAATGTATTCGTTGGGTTCGGCAACTCACCACCAGCATCCAACCAAATCTAGCGGATCAACGGCGCATCAACTTAGTTCCTGGTCAGCTCGCAAGTTGATATTATCACGTCCTACACCGTCCATAAGATGGGGGGCCACCTCCCATTTCATCACTCCTCAAACACCCGAGGAGCCGGCAGGCGGATTTGAACCCGGGTCGACTGGGTCGACTGGGAGCAGAAGTCAGGCCTTAACCTCTGCCAGCCGCCTGCCTGTCTTTGTATGTGTGCACGTATATACCCCTCCCTATATACCCCTCCCTGCCCCACCCCGCATTTCGCCGCCTACCCGGAACGCCGCATCCGCTGCCGCCGCCGCCTGCTCCTCCACCTTCTTCGCCGCCATCAGGTACTTGCCGTACAGCTCCCTCCGCCGACCCTCATCCGCGAGCGCCGCCCACCTCGCCTCCCCCGCAAACCGCTCCGAAGCCTCCTCGAAGCTGCAGCTGCTGCGAACCGGGGGTTGCGCCTCGCGCAGCAGGGCGAGGAAGGCCAGGTCCAGTGTGCGCTGCTGCCGCTGCAGGACCGCCGCGTGCGCGTGTGCGTGCGTGCGTGTGCGTGTGTGTATGTATCCACGTGCGCGTGTGTATTTGAGGGGGGAAGGTAGGACGGGGGATTTGGGGGGAAAAGGCGACATGAGACAGAGAGCCAAGGTTTTCTGTGTATTTGCCGAGAGCGTACTCGGCTGTTCGTTGGTGGTACGGCGGGGCCGTACTGGTGAGAACGAAGGGCAAGTCGCGGAGAGCGCGACGGAAAGAGTAATTTCGCGAGTTTATATAGTCAGTACTGACAGGTTTCCACTGCGTCGTCTGCCCATTACACCGCCCCGCGGCAGATAGCGCATTCGGTAACCATGTTCCCTCTTCTCGGCTTAGAGGTCGCCCTAGTGGCAATGTTTGCGGGCATAGTTATGATGCCAGCTAAGCGTAGAGTAGGTGACCAATTGGTCGAGCTTCAGAAGGTGCACGCAGACCTGCACGCCCAGTTGACCGCCATTGAGCAATCCGACGACTACCAGAAGGCCGCCTCCCTGCTGGCCTCTGACCCTCTGGCTCGCTTAAACAAGAAGAAGTTTTCTACCGCTATGCTGTAACCAGGCTCGCCTCCTCCCACGGAAGCAAGCACACTCTTCTGCTCGCAGGTACCCAAGCTCGACTCACGTCTATAAGCGGTAAGGCAACTACTCATGAAAACTAGTGTATCTAAGAATACAAATTCAAATTGCCGACGTCCATGGGATCAAGGAAGGGAGGGGAGGGGGATTTTAGGGTTTAGGGACATACACACATGCATGCACACATGCATGCACACATACACACAAAACACACGCACTTACCTTGGCCGCTTCCTGCATCTCCAGCTCCTTCAAATAGCGTTCCGCATCAGCCTGCGGTATTATAGACAGAGTGTAAGTAAGCAAGTAAGTAAGTAGTTGTTACAGGGTGGTGTAGCTTCACCAGCGGCCCCTTTTCCCGAGGCAGTCCCTGCTCTCCCCTGCGAGAGGAGCACCCTAATCCATTCACCCCATCCGACTTCAGAATGTATTCGTTGGGTTCGGCAACTCACCACCAGCATCCAACCAAATCTAGCGGATCAACGGCGCCACAACTTAGTTCCTGTTCAGCTCGCAAGATGATATTATCACGTCCTACACCGTCAACAATGGGGGCCCACCTCCCAATTCAACACCCCACACACACCGAGAGGGGTCGGCAGGCGGATTTGGACCCGGAACCTCCGGGAGCAGAAGTCAGGTCTTAACCTCTGCCAGCCACCTGCCTATGCATGTATGTATGTAATGTATGTTATTATGTTATGCACACACATACGTACCTTGAACGCCGTCGCCAGGTCCCCGGCTATCCGCGCCGCCAGCCCCGTGAAGCCCAGGCTGTTCCGAATGACGCGACTTGCCCCCTCCAGTAGCGCATCACCACCCGGAGCCATCGAAGGAGCGGCAGGAAGAGGCGGCGGCGAAGGAACAGGAACATCCCTACTCGCTGAGGCCGGTGCCGCCACCGCTGAGGCGCCGCTGGCGGAGGCGGAGGCGCTTCTGCCGCCGCCGCCGCCAGCGCCCGAGGATGGAGCAGCCTGTACGGCACGACGATCCATTTGCTCCGCAGGCTGCTGCTGCGGCGGCGGCGGGCCGCCGCCACCGCCACCGAACAGACCACCTAACAGGCGGCCGCCGCCGCCGCCGCTGCCGCGGAAAGGTGAGATAGAGCGCATGAGAGGGCTTGTGGAGCGTTGTGGCGGCGGCGGCGGCGGCGCCGCCGGAGTGTTGGCCGCTGTGGCGGCGGCGGCTGCGGCGGCGGAGGAAGATGAAGAGGACTTGGCAGCGTTGCCAAGGGTCGCGAAGGCACCAAATATCGACCGATAACTGCCACCTGACTGAGGAGGTGGTGGTTGCGGTTGGGGGCCTTGAGGTGGTTGCGGCGGCGGCGGCGCCGCCGCTGCTGCCCTCGGAGTGGGAGAAGCGGCGCGGCGGAAGAGCGGCGACACTGCGCGCCAGGGAGCCTCCGGCGGCGGTGGCGGCGGCGGCGGCGGTGGTACGGACGCTGATGATGTCAGTAATGCCGCTGCTTCCTTGCTGCTGCCGTCCATGCTACTGCCGCTGCTGCGACTGCTGCCACCCCCTAGCAATCGTGACCAGAAGGAGCCGCCCGTCTGCACATTGAAAGATAAACGAAATGAAGGACACGGGATTCGAACCCCTCTTCGACGCGGGAAACGTCATTTGAAGGTAGCTACCAATCCAAAGCGACTGACCACAAACCCTTACTAGGATTAAAACTGTTTAGGCCAAAAGCAGAAAGGGAGGAATCCCCGCGAAAATGATACCCGCTGTAACCCGCAACATCAACATAACCATCAACCCAGGTCGGGACCGCAACCCTCACCTCATGAAAGTACCCATTACTCACCTCACCGTCCGAGTCACTCTGCCGTACCACGGCATCTGTGTCCGCCGCCGCCACCGCTGCTGACGACTGATCCCCCCTGGCGTTGCTGCCGCTGCCACCACGCCGCCCGCTGCTGCCGCCGTCAACCGAGGACATGTTGCCTTTTGGGGGCCGGTACGTCCGTACATCCGTAAGTGCGTGCGTGTGTGTGTATGTACGGATACGTGCATGTGCGGTGGAAAAGCGGGGAAAGATGACGAACGGGGGGGAGAAAGAACGTGTGTGTCGTCCCACTGGGCAGTACTCTCCTCCTCCCCTCCTACTACTACTTATAATAATGTCGGGGAATACACAAATGTCGGTAACGTAATGGGGCTTTACTTCCGGAACCACATGTCGATGTGACATCACACTCACACACCGCTTAGGACTCCCTCACCCCCTGAATGAGGGCAGTTTCGGACTTAGGGTTTGGACGCCTTCGGGCAGTCAGGCGGCTCATTTATCTGCAACAGGACTGATTCCCCCCCTTCTCGCCTTTGGAAGCAGGCATCTTTCCCCATTCCTCCCTCCCCCCCGTCCCCCTCCCCTGCCTGCCTCACCCGCCAGCGCCCCCTTGGCGTTCTGTTTAGCCGACCAGTAATCTCGATCCAGATCCAATAACCGCCTCTCCATGCGGCTGAGGGTGCGCTCAGCCTGATGTAGGGGGCGGCAGCGGCGGGGGGGGGAGGAACCGGGGCATCGGGAAGGGGGGGAGGGAGGGAGGGGGGACAGGAAAGGTACAAAGAAGGAAGTTACTTCGGGAGCGGAGGGAGAGAGAGGGAAGAAGTGAAAATGGGAGAGAGATAGGGGGAAGGGAAAGATTAAAAACCCCAAGCTGAGACAGTTCTCAAGATATCAGCCCGGGTGACCACATACATACATACACACATAGATAGATAGACAGATAAATAGGTAGATAGATAGATAGATAGACCTCCTCTCCCACTCACTCCCCTCTCCCCTTTCCCTCTCACATAAACATACACATACACACACGTAGCACACACACACACACACAACCCCAACCCCAACCGCATCCCCAACCCCAACCCCAACCACATCCCACACACTCAAACACTCCCCCCAGCCTACCACCTCCAACCCACAACCACCTACCCTCTCCCCAGCCTACCTTGGCCAGCATCTCCGGCTCGGCCTCCCCCGCCTTCACTTTCGCCCTCAGACCGCGAACCACCAGCGACTGCCGCTCCGTAGCCGAGGCCTGGTTGGAGATCTTCCGCTCCAACTCCCCCAACCGACTGCTCAACCGCTCCCACACGCTGTTGAACATGCCGGCGGCGGAGGGCGCGGAGAACAAGGAGGCGGAGGAGGAAGAGGGGGAGGAGGGGAAGGTCGAGGAGGCGGCTGCGGCGGCGGCGGCGGCTTCCGCGTTGCGAAGGGCCTGGAGGCTTTGGGAGGACCTGACGTCACGTGGAGGCGGGGAAGGGGGGGAAGGAGGGGAAAACGGCGGGAAAGAGGGGGAAAAGGACGGGGGAAAGCGTGTATGTGCCATGTGGGTTCCGAGAAATACCTATTCGTACATCCACCACCACCCCGACCCTGTCCGCCTAACCCCCTAAACATCCACTCACCCCACACGTCACCACTCAACCTCACCCACCCAACCCCCCCAAAAAAACCCAACGCAGGAATAACACACACACCTGCTCGCCCACCTTTCCCCCATCACATACACACACATACATACGCACACATACGCACACACACACACCTGTCCCTCTGGGCCTTTGGATCCTGTTGCTGCTGCTGCTGTTGTTGTTGCTGCTGTTGTTGTTGTTTGTTGCTATTCCCGCCAAACCCGAAGAAACTCAACAGACCTGACGCCTGGTTGGCGGTGGCGGAGAAATCCTGTTGCAGGCCCGCAAGACGAGCCTGAGGGGCGGGAGGGGCGGGGCAATACGGGGGAGGACGAACCACGAACGAGTGAAGCTGCTGCCACGGAATGCGTGGAAGGGAAGGGGAGGGGAAGGGGAGGGAGGTGTAGGGAGGAAGATGAAGCACAGACTACTGAAGCCGCTGATGCCAGATGGATAGAGAGACACCCCCCCGGAGGGATTAATAGACAGATACGTGCTGCCCGGGAAATTGTAAGCTGCCAACCGGTAGTGACTTGAGATAGAAGGGGGACAGAGGGGGAGGGGGAATACACGTGCAGCAACAAGTCATGGGTAAGCTGCTGCTGCTGATGATGATGATGACGTCACAGCAGCCGTACAGCGCGTACACATATATACATGCATACACATCCATTCTTGCATACCACCCTCGTCATTTCCTTATCTCAGATCAGATCATTAAAATATGCATTGGAGTGTGTGCATCGTGTAGAGAAGCGAAGATAGGATAACAACATAACTTGCACACACACGCACAGAACAAACATACATACATATCCATACCTGCACTCGCACATACCTGCATTTTGCTGAGTACCTTCTCCTCCTTTTGTAGGAGCGCCGGATCCACCTTCCCGGTGTCCACCTGCGGGAGGTCAGCGGGGGGGGGGAGGGGGTATAGCGGGGGGGGGAGGGGGTATAGCGGGGGGGGGAGGGGGTATAGCGGGGGGGGGGAGGGGGTATAGCGGGGGGGGGAGGGGGTATAGCGGGGGGGGGGAGGGGGTATAACGGGGGGGGGGAGGGGGTATAGCGGGGGGGGGAGGGAGGGGGGAGGGGGAAAGAGAGGTGAGGCGGGCCCCGGGGTTACCCCAAACCTGACACGCATATCCCCCTCGGGCCCTAACGGGGCCACAGTGTGAGTGCGGGAGGGGAAGGGAAATGAGGAGGAGGGGGCTTATGGGCCATCAAACTGCGGATCTCAAGAAAAAACAAGTTCCTCAAAATAAGCATGCATACATATACATATGCATACAAACATACATCCCGACGAATTTCTGAGGTGACCACGAAAAAAGGCCTCTGGCCAAAAGTCCGACGGACACTATAACGACCGCCGTACGAGGGTCAACGAAAGCGGCAGAAAATGGGGAAGGGAAAAGAGGGGAAAGGATTAAAGCGCCATACACACATATACACACTCATACACACACGCCTTCTTCCCCTCTCTCCCTCTTCCTTCTTCACACTTAGGGTGTGCGATGTTTCCGTTAGTTTCCGTACCTGTTCTTTTAACCTCCTAACGGTGGTCGTTTGGAGCTCCGTGGCTGAGGTCTGCCGCATGATGCGGGCCTGAGCGGGGGGGAGGCGGAGGGGGCGTGTGTGTGTATTCAGTATGTATTCAGTTTGTACGAAACAACCGCCGACGTCAAAAGTTAAGTTGGGGATGGGAAAGGGAATTTAGGGTATGTATGCAACAAAGTGTTTCAAAGGCGGATTCACCAGAGAGGGGAGATGCGGAGTGTACGACGACGAAGAAGCAGGACAGACGATTGATGAGAAGAAGATACCATGCGGGTCAGGACGGGCGACGGGGTCGGTCGGGGTACGGGACTTCGGAACCGTACAACCGCAGAGCAAAAGGGATAGAGAGAGTCAGCGCACGAGACAAACTCCCATCCATATAACAGGATGGGGGGTGTTGGAGGTTGGAGTTGGAGGGGCATCACACGCAAGCGGCAATGAGGGTCCGTCAGGTGGGTGCCGACGCGTCCGCAAAACACCCCTCCCCGGTGCTCTCTCGAGTACAAGACGATGAGGAGGGGAGGGCGGGGGAGAGGAGGGACATACAAACATACATACATATGTACATGCATAGGTCCCCACCCCACCTCATCCACCTCACCTCCAAGTCAAACAGACGACCCGTCATGTCCCGCCACATGCCAAGAGCGGAGCCCAAAGGATCGCCGCCGCCGCCGCCGGAAGTGGAAGCGCCGCCGCCGCCGCCGCCGGCCGCCTTCGACCCGGCCCTGGACTCGGCCGGCGCCGGCGCCGCGGCGTCGCCTCCCGACGTCCTGCCCCTCCGTGCCCCCGCCCCCGCCGCCGCCGCCTCCCCGCCGGATCCCCCCCTGGAGGACGAGGACGCGGCGGCGGCGGCGGTACTGCTTCCCGAAGTGCTTGCGACGGGCGCCGCCGCCGCCTCCAATGCGCCCTTGATGTACCTAGATTGATGTTTGTTCGTGGGGACAGACAGATCGACAGACGGGCGTACAAAGAGATGAAGGGCACATTGACATAGTGGCGCACAAAGCCGGAGATAGGACAGGTGGAGATATATGCACGCCGAGAGACAGACAGACAGACAGACGGGCAGACAGACACCTCCAGCGCCCTTGGGCATTCGCGATCGCGTCCGGGCTGGGTACGACACTTCTGTAAAAGCCCTAAAACCCTCACCCTACCCTACCCCACCTCCTAATCCCCGTAAAACCCTCAAGCCCCGAAGAGCCCCCCTTATCCTTACCGGTGTTTGAGCGCCTCAAAAGCGCTGATCCGTTGGAACGGCGTGTCGTTGACGAAGCTGACCCCCCCGTTGTCGTCCACCTGGATGTGCCTCGGAGCCAGCAGGGACTGAAGCAGATCCCAACCTGCGCGTGTATGTATGTATGTACGTATGTATTTGCCAAATGCCCTCCAGCATCATCCGTCTGGGGCCCCCACACATATATATGGGAACATAGCCATCTCCAGACAGAGCCAGCGGATATGTTAATATGTGGCATAGTGTCCCTAGATAGGTTCCTGGTTCGATCCCGACAAAGAGTGTGACTTACGCCCCTCTACCGTAAAAGAGGGTAGGAAGCACACTCCCGTGCCGGCAGACAGTTACGGACCCGGTCACACGTAGTGACACTATCCAGCCGACCAGGGGAGGAGTTATTGCCGCCGTTTACCCGGCAGCAGATTCATACACTGGTTGTGGGTGACGGTGGTGGTGCTGCTGCTGCTCTGCTGGGAGCTGAACCCCCAAAAGCCTGAACCCGACTTCGCCGAGTTCAGCACACACGTGGGGGATGCAATGCTAGAAAGAAGGATGAAAAGGCGGCAACGGGGAATACCGGGAAGGCGGCTAGGGGGGACTGCCAGCGGGTGGCTAGGGACCACCTAAGGTGAGGTTAATACACCCCGGGTTTCACACAATCATGCAGACATACATACATACATACACGCACACCTGCGCCATCATCGGCATCCAGCAGCGCACAGTCCCTGGAGGACAAGTGGGTGCCCTTCCGCCAGGCAGCCAAGTCGTACTTGTACTTCGGGCCGTACACTGAGTTAAAATTACGTAAGGCCCGGTCCGTGCGCATGGCGGGAATCGCCAATTGAAGCATTACGATACCTGAGCAGCGGCGGAAGGGTGTTGACACATTCTTAAAGTTGTAGGCTGGGTTTCATGTATGCATGTATGCATGTATGTATGTATGTATGCATGCGAAGGTACGGGGGGAAACCCAACGGGGGGGGGGGGAAAATTGCGGGACGGAGTAAAACACAACAGAGGTAGCTTCATGTGTATGTATACTAAATCCCCCACTCCGCCCAGCTTGCTCCCCTCCCCTCCCATCCGCCCCCCCCACCGCCTTCATCCAAGGCCCATTCCTCACTTCCAGTATCGACACCCCCACTCCCCCCCAGCGCCCACAACCCAAGCACCCCCCAACATCCCCCCCACCTTCTCCACATATACCCCCCAAAACCCCAACACCTCCCCGCCGACTCACCGGACGACCAGGTATCAAACCGGTCGGGTTTGTGTTTCGCCCACAACATGGGGCTTATGGCGAGCTTAATTAGGCCCGCCTGCTTGGAGATGTGCGGCGAGTCGGTTGGCATAACGAACTGCTCGGGGGGGCAGAAATTCAAATCCAAAATAGATTCTTCCGGAACGTAGTTGGTTCCGGAGCGCAGGTCGGCACAGGCGCCCAAGTCGATCAGCTGCGAATGGGGCGAAGGGAGGGCCGTTGGGGAAATGACGGACGGGGGCGACGGGGTTGAGGCTGTTGTGGGGTACGACGACGGAACATAGACGATTGGTAGACGATTGACGCGAAGAACAAACCAGAGGGTGCGTGTGGGTGAAGAGTCGGGGGCTAGGGAAGCGGGTTTTCGTTAGCGACATGGGGACCTCTCATGTGGCGGTCGGGGTGGGAAAGACGAACCACAAACGAGTGAAGCTACTGCCAGGGGTGGGGGTTCTAGGGAAGGCGGTCGGGCTGGGGGTGACTCAGAGTGTGAGGGAAAGAGAACCGCGGGAAGGGTGGGGGAGATTAGGTGTACATGTGCGGTGCCGTGCGGTGGGGAAAGAGGAACCACAAACGAGTGAAGCGGTGGGGTGAGGGTAAAAATAGGTGCACAGGTGCAAGCGTACGGGTACAGATATGTGTGCTATATGTGTACGGATGGTAATACCGGTAATAGGCTGTTTAGGGGAAGCGCTGCAAGGGAGAATCTCTTCTTAAACCCCCACCCCCCACCCATCAGTACCTCTCCCCACCTCCATAAGCAACACCAACCGCTTCTATTACAATGGCAGCGTAAGCAACCTGCTGCTGCTGCTTAGGCTGCTGTCGGACTGCCCCCCCCGGCCCTCCCCCCCCCCCGGGCTGCCCCTGCCCCTCCAGACACACACCTTAAACCGCCGTACATCCTCAGCCAAAATCATGTTCAGGGGCTTCACATCGCGATGCACCAATCCCGCTGCGTGGAAGGCCTGTGTGAGTGAGCGCGTGGGTGGGTGTGTTTCGGAGCGGATATGTGACCGGATCGGTGACCGGGCGACCGGGAAGAACCGGTTCTCGGGAAGATTGAGGGGACCATTTGAAAACACATCATGTAAATTAACGATATTCAGCTGTTACCTGGAATGCATGTGTGTATCTGTGTATGTATGTACGTATGTATGCCATACGAGGTGCAGAGCGCAGTGCCCTGCGTAACGAACCAGACGTTTCTAAGACTAGTCGTAGCAGCAACGGCAACGGCAACGGCGGCTGCAGCAACAGGAACAGCAACAGGAGCAGCAGCAAGTGTGGCTAAAGGATTGGAAAGGGTTTAGGAATTTATAACCCAACCTGCCCAAGCCCCCCTCAGCCGCCAGCAGCTCCCGTCCAAAGCCTACCCCAACCCCCCATCTCACCGCTAGGCCCTCAAAAATGTGCCGCATGACGGTTGGTACGACAACCGACTCAGGAACCTAGGGTATATTCCGGGGGAACGGAAGGGGGAGGGGGAAGGGGGGAAGGGATCGGACGGGTGAGAGGAAAACACTCAGGACCGTGCAGGGTTGGGACTGTTTTACAACACACAAAAGAACTCTATGAAAGATATGCAAATCCTAGAAATTATTAACGCTGAAATCGAAAAATTTTCCTGCCTACCTACTCATGTACACGAAGCAACATCCACAGCTGCGGAATTGCCGTACCGCCGAAACCCCTTTCCTCTTCCCCCGTCGAGGTTCCAAAGATTATTGTTCTAATCTTGGAGAATCCGTTTTTTATTTTTGTCTCTCTTTTTGTCAATCGTCTGTGTTTTGTCGTACCCCCTCGGGTCCCCCCCCGGGGGACCCACCTCCAAATCGGTGGCCAGAGCTCGGAGGGTGTCTCGCCGCCTCAGGTAGTACGACAGGGTCTTGCTGCCCTCGTACTTCCACACCTGCAACACACGTGCGCATGTGCAAGCGTTTAGAAAAGCGTGCGTTATGAGATTATTATTTGGTAGTTGGAAAGCCATGCGCTGAGATGCAATTGCCGAACAGGTACGACAGGGTATGGTAGTGTACGGCAAGTATGGTGGTGTAGGTGCCAGTCCCAGCCATGCGACGTGAGCGGGGCCAGCTAAAACATTTCCATCAGGTCGCACCCACCAACCCCAACCCCAACACCAAAACTACCCGGCGGAGGGCGGACTCTGGATATACATACATACATACATACATACATACATGCGCACTTAGTTGCGCGTACAATACATTATGCGAGTCAGTCCTGCGCAGGGGTGAGCTGCGCACAGGGATGTACCCGCAGAACGGCAAACAGGGACCCCTCCCCCGCCTCCACCTCCAACGAAGAAGCTTTGCGGGGATCGGGCCCCCTTTTCGCCCCAACTCCGCCTCCGCCTCCCATTTCTCCCTCAGCTTTTCCCCTACCGGAAAACACTCTTAGCCCTCCGCCCCCTCGGCCTATAACTCCGCCCATCCACCCCCCACCCATCCCTTACACCCCCTTGCACACTCCAACCCCCCCACCATACAGTACCCTGCCCCGCCCCGCCCCGTCCACCCCCCCCCCGTATCCCATAAAACCCAAACCCCAGTTACTCCCACCCATCCCAACCCAATAACCCCCCTTCCAACCCGGCCGACACTTCACTTCTGGTTTCCTCACATACGGTTTCCCCCTTTACCCCCCCACCCCCAGCCGCCTCCATCCCCCCCCCGGCACCCACCAGCCACAGCCCCGATGTCAGCCGCCCGGTGGCCTCACTCTCGTCCACCTCGCAGTAGCCCAGGAAGTCCGCGCAGTGCCCTCGGGCCACCCGGCTGGCGTACACGTTGAGGAGGTGCTCCATCTGGGACATCTCCTCGGCGCCCTGGGGAGGAGGGGGGGA